CATAGGAAGCTCAATTTCCTTAACTCACTGAAAAGACTACTTTCTGCAAACTGATAATGGGGTGGGGGGATCAAACTCAGGCCACTAAGCATGGTAGGCAAAAGTTCTACCACTGACCCACACTTCTGATCCTCTATTCACTTTTTTAAAAATCATGAAAACAAACTTAAGTATACAAAAATATAGTAATAGTCATATGTACACTTCCTCAGCTTTAACAACTATCAGTTGAAGGGCTAATCTTGCTTCATCGCTCCCTCTTTTCCTCAATTATTTTGAAGCAAGTCTCAGACATCATGGCATTAACTTCCTAAAGGCTAAATGTAATGGGTTATTTTCAGTGGATGTACAGGTATATGAAGTCCAAACAAGAGGTCTCAGGTAGAAATATAGATTTGAAAATGATGAACAAAATTAATATTTGAAGTTGCAGCTTTGAAAGAGGTCAAAAATAAATCCTTGGAAAACAAGGTACTTTCTTTTGGTCCTCTTTCATTAAAAACATAAACAGACATAAAGCACATTTTTTTCACCAAGCAAGAAACTCTATTAGTTTACAAAGGCCTATGTAAATCTTATATCTGATGTTTTACGTATTTTCCTTCCTTAAAATGGTGCCCCTATACAGTAATAGTAACAGCTCTAAAGGATTTAACACAATACCTAAAACATAGATATTATTTCATGTACCATCAAATGTAAACACTGACACTGTAACTACTTTTCAAAGTATTTGTTAAAAACTTGTCACACCATATATATTTTACCATTCTTTAAAGTGTAAAAATCTGTTTTATAATTTCTTTCACATGTATATTTCACAGAAAAATTTTTAAAATAAAGTTTAAAGAGAAATATGATTTCTATATTGAAATAGATATGACAGATGATGGTATATCTTAGAAGCATTTAGAGCTTTGAACATACATAAGAATATTTGTGTACTAAAAATATTTTATAAGCTCTTTAGACACCAAGCTGTTGAATCAGAGACCGTTTATTCTTACATTTTAGTTTTTATCCCATGTGTCAAAATTAGTTATGATTTATTTATACTCCAATCCCCCTCAAAAATTGGACTCAAGTTCTTTAAATTCTAATTTTACAATCCACTTTAAAAGAATTTCTAAAATTTTCTACAATAGTTTTCATAAGCTGTTCATAAAGATTAACCTTTATAAAAAAGTATTTGTGACCTTTAGAATGGAATGTAATTTTGTCCCTTTGATTATATTAGGCACCAAGTAAAGGATCCCAAGGGGGTAAAACAGCTACAATTTTTAGAAATACAATGGATTTTCAATGTTTAAATTTTGACAGATCGTCATTGATTAAATAGAGCCTAAGTCCTTTTTGATTAGAAGGAACTCCAAAATATTTTAAGCATATCTGTATCTTTCAAGTAATAACCCTAGAAACAAAAATGCACAGTTACATATATATTAGTAATGTGCAATTTAATTTCAAGTGCACCACACACTTCTTTATTTTTTCCTCAGAAAAAAAAATGGGATATATTTAAAAGCACTTTCAACCTTAGCTATACTGTATAAATGCCATTTCATCTAAATTACTGAAGAATTTTCAGCAAATATTTTTGGCCTCTTAAAGCTTTTGAAGGACTGCACTTAGTGTGTTTTAAGTAAACTCCAACTCAGTTTTTTAAACATGATTAAAGAAACATTGAATCAAAATGAGATTTTTCCTCTCACCTCAAACACAATTTTTTTCAGATACCAGTAAGTTATAACACGATGATTAAGAGGCATAATTGCTTCCTTAGGAACCATCTATTAAATAGCTCCTCAACGCTTCAAGTTTTTGAAAAGTACAGTTCAGATACCCAACATTTACTCAAACAGATTAATACTGTATATTGAAGATATTTTCTTGTTGTCAAATAAGCAATGTATTATCATCCCAGTATTCATTTTTAAGTTGCTGGTTTTTAATTACTACGGAACTTGAGGTTTTTTTTTTTTTTCATTTTACACATTAAAATGTATTGGGGATGGAAGAGAAAGTGTGGAAAATATAGAGTAACTCTTTGAGAACTTGTTCTGTTTTTAATTAGGAAATTTTATAAAGATATCTTGTTGCTGTTCTTAAATTAATTCTGCATCAGAAGCCAAGTGATTTTCTGGTCTTGAATAGTAATGATCCAGATTTTCTTTACCAATAATGTATATATTAACGACATTTATGTATCAAATGCGTTATATTTCTATACAGTACCTCTAAAGACAACGTTAGCAACTTGTTATCAGGCACTACCGATATCTTTAGCGTATAATTCATTCTGACGAGTGGTGAGTTTATCCTTTACTTTCACGACTGGAAAAAATAGTAATTTAGCTGTAGAATTTGAGGAATTTTGCTCAAATTCATTTTCCATGAATAAAACTAGTAATTTTATTTTGACACAAGATATCAGGTTTTTTGATATTTGAAGTATAGCAGACATGAATTTGCTGACACTCGGTGTCTTAAGTTTTTATTTGTTTTTCCCCTCGGATTTCCCCCTCACCGTTAAAACACGACCTCTTTTCCCCAAATAAAAAAATTCACAACTGAAAACGCTGTATCTATACAACCTCAGTAGCTCCTGCAGAAGTTACAGAAGAGCTCTTCAACACACGAAGTGACTTCACCGAATCTTTTTAAAGCTTCCACAAATCAATACAGTGCCCTTAAGATACTTTTAAGACTAAAAACCAATCTTTAAAAATCACAGCTAAGACCCATCCTTTGCCCCCAGAGCACCTTATGCCCGTTCAGGTAAGGGTAGACTTTTTCCCCATACAGTGTGCGCAGAGGTCCCAAGCTATGAAGAAAAACAGCAAAGATTTCGTTGAGCCCTCAAAGAAAGACGTCTTAGCGTTGTTACATTTTCTGACGTTGCTAAATACCCTAAACGCCTTAAGTCTTAGGTTGCTAAATGTCCTAAATTCTTTACATGCTAGTTGTTTCCATCATGTCATGAACACCAGACAAACAGAACAAACTCACGCTCCAGAGATGTGCGAGCCAAGGACGGTCCTCAAAGAACCTGCCTGATAACAGGTGGCGGCGGCCGGGAGGGACCCGGAGGGACCCGCCCGTCCCACGGCCGCCGCCGCCACAGCGGCTGCCCGACTCCAGCCAGCGCGGAACCCACCCCGCCTCCCTCACCACGCTGCCGAACCGAGGTGGCGCCTCGCTCAGGCCGCGTCTTCCCGCCGCCGCCCCAGGCCCTGGGAGAAGCACGTGCCTCCCCTCGAAGCCTCGAGCCGCGGGCGGGAACTGCAGCCGGGTCTCCGCGCCTGACCGCTGCTTCCCCCACTCGCGCCTGACGCTCAGGCGCCGCCGAAGCTTCTAGAAGCTTCTAAAAGCCAGCGACCGCCCGGCCAGGGGGTCGCGTTCGCCTCGGTGGGCAGTATGAAGTTGTGCAACGTCCCAGGTTGACTGGGGCCCAGTAACAACCGAGGCCCGGGGGTGTGGGTACCTTGCTCCAGAGGCCCCGCGGTGGTCCGGGTCAGGGCAAAGTCGCGTCTCTTGGTTTCCGTCCACCCACAGGCCAAGAGCTCCCACAGCACGGACTCGGAGTGCGGGCCGGGCCACGCCGCCCCTGGGCCTCGAGCCGCGCGGGGAACGGGCCGCGCCCGGGGACCTGCAGCGGGGT